AATTTCATGATGTGAAGGTGTTCTGCATGTTTGAGCAATCTGCACAAGGATCAGGGGTAAATACTCAATGGGAGGCACATCGCTATTGAGTTGGCAAAGACCAAAGGCCTTAAACAGAAACGACATTACAGGTAGATGATTCTGTTTGCGTGCCTTTGTGTGTCGAGTGGTAAGGTGGCATCCCGCATTCTGCAATGGCGTGGCAGAAATGATTACGCAATAAACTCACGCACTCACTGTTCGATGGGCAAGAACCGGAGCCCCAGAGCAAACGTGATCAACTGTGTGTGGCACATTACACTGAGAGGCCGGAAAGGCCTCTCCCAGGGATAAGATGGAATAATATACGGAGAGAGAGACAGGAGTGAAGCGAGAGAAGCCGGCCCCATTCCTATGGAACGCTGGAATTCTCGGAGCACAACTGGATTCAGTGATGGATCTGCCTATGCCACCACTTCTGTATTGATGACAGGCAGGGTTTTCACGCGCTGGTGGGCGGGCTGGGCACATGGGGGAGTCAGCTAATCTGATTGCGCTGTTAGAACGCAGACCTCCCAGCTGGGCGTCGCCCATCCATGAGGCCAGGACACCGGCTGAGAGGATGACCAGAAAAAAATTAAGAGGAAAAGCTGATCCCTTTGTGAGCCAGTCATAGTGGGCAAAAGACGTGCACTATGGGTAATTAGACGTGCTAAATAAAGACCCATTTTGCAAACTGGAATCCATCAGTCAGACAAGTGGAACAAGTAACACAACCGAGAGGATGGTGCACCCCCGTTTGCCCTTGGCAGCGGGAAGGGCAAAGACGTGGCTGACTGGCCCAGGTACGGGAAGCTCGTCTGCGCAGGCGGATGAGCAACACCATCAGGATCCCGAACTGTGCAGTAATGAGTTCCTCAACAAAATCATAATGAGAAGCAAACATTCTCCTCAACCTCCATTTTAAAAAACATATATCCGAATTCAGAGTGATGTTTTTGCTACATGCTGCATATTTGCATAGACAAAATACCCAGACAAACACACACACGCACACACACACATACACACAGTAGGGTAAACATATCCTTATGGGGACCGCTCATTCATTTCAATGGGAAAAATGCTAACGCTAACTATGACAACCTTAACCCCTACCCTGCCCTAACCATAAGTAACCTAACAAAATACAAGAGTTTTTGCATTTTTAGTTTTTTCATAGCAGTCACCGATTTTTATAAAATAGTGTTTTCCCTTATGGAGACCAGGAAACCGGTCCCCATAAGGGAAAAAAATGGATATTTATCACGTTATGGGGACATTATGTCCCCATAAGGATAAGTAAACCCACTCGCACACACACACACGCACACGCACACACACACACACACACATTTGCCATTTTTTGTTTTTTGATTGCATTCATAGATTTTTTTACAAAATTGAGGTTAGTCTTGTGGGAACCAAAAAAACGTCCCCAGAAGGAAAAAATTTAAAGGTTTTTATCACATTCTGGGAATATTTGGTAATATAATTAATGTAATATATACATGACGACTCACACAAACACAGACACACTCACACAAAGGACAATGATAGACCTTGATATACAGACGCAGGAAATATATAAAAATGTGAGAACAGAACCCATACTGAACAATTCAGATGTGTGCTACGTGTAAATATAACAGATTTATTTACAGTCAGAGATAGAAGATTTCCATTTTCAGGATAAGGGGGAACATCTCAGGCCTGCCTGAGAAAATGACAAAAAGCCACAACTGCCGCCTTAAAAAGTCAAATAGGAAGGATAGAGGCGCAGTGCGTGAGACGGGCATGTGCTCGTCACTGGCTAACAGGAGAGCTACTCTTTAAACATGAATCACAGCACTGCGGGCTGGCATCTACTGAAGACTCCCATTGTGATCCTATTTCCCTGATCCTGGGAGGCTGGGAGCAGAGAGGAGGGGTCTGCCTGTCTGTAGGCACTCATGCCGGGGTCCCCGGGGGCATATCATAACCTATTACCTCCATCTCTGACAAAATATACATTTAAAGTACAATCACACCCCCTGCCTCCTCCTGTCTGGGCATTCCATCTCGCTGTCCCCTCTTCTGCAATCCAATGGTTCACCCTGAAGGGGGCGGCTTTATTCCGAGCACTCACACGCTCAGGAGGAGGTGCGAGACGGAGGAGAGAGCCCCAAGAAAGCGTTCTGTGTGTGTTTTATGTGCCAAATGAAAAAAACTTGATGTGATTTGTGCATTTTTGTATCTTCTGGAACAAATTCACTGCAATAATTGTGTAATTTCAACACTTTCAATACACAAAAAGCAATTAAATATAAATTAAAATATAGAAAATTAAATATGTGTTGATATTTCTCACAATCCATCTCTGAGACAAAGGAAGGACAATATTTACATGTTTTTTTTAAGACCAGACCTCCCGGTTCGCACTTCACCATCTGCACGAGTCACTGGCAGCTTTGTATTACCCACAATCCTTTTCAATGCGCAGCCAGTGACATAATCATCTGAGTGGGCAGCCAAAATGAAGAATAAGCCCATATTTTACATACCTGCATAACACATAGTCTTTAAAAAAAAAAAAGTCTCTGTCTCTCTTTTTACCCCTCCCCCACAAAAAAACGATAGGCCTTTGTTTTACATGAGCAATAAAGCCAATGTGCTGTGTTTCATGCTGCTTTCGAATGAGCTTCACATCCATAAATCCTCTATCCTAGTTGCATCGACCATAAGATGGGTGTGAAATGTGTGGCTCTCAGGGTATGAGGTCCCGTGTCCCTTTGCTGGGCGGATGTAAGCAGAGGTTTCATTAAACTGCAGAATCCCTGACTGAACCTTCCTTTCATTTTGGGGTGATTGGGGCCAATTTCACAGCCGGCACTCTGGCTGAACACAGAAATTGGAAAAATGTGAAATCGATTGTTCGGAATGCAGGTTCCATTCTGCCGTGCTCCCCTTCCATCATTTACAGTGTTGTGCAGCAATACAGTTGATTCTGGCCTGTGCGAGCCTGATAATAGCAGAACGGCCTCACGATAGTTGGCTGTTGCCTGCCATGACGTCGTGGTTCCACTGGCTGCCATTTCCTGGAAACAGGAGCGGCGCCAAACGCCCAGCAGCTAGTAAAAGTGACCCGTCCTGGACCCAAAAAAAGGATCCAAGTTCCTTTTCACAAAACCTCATTCATTCTCTTACCTCAGTTTTACTCACCGCTAACAAACTGCCATTATCCTTGGCACCTTGTGACCTTAAACTTTCTAAGTAAATATTACACTAAACTGAGTCTGAGCTACATCTGTACTTCCATATAATCCAAAAAAATTAAACAGAGGATGAAACAGAAACCTCATAATTAACTATACACCCGCCAGGATGAGGAAGATATAGTACTTTTTCCTAAACGAAGAGTAACGGCACGGTGATTCTTGTCCACAGTTCAGAGTGATATGGTTGTTCACGCACTGCGTCCTCGCCCTTTCATATAGCTTATCTTTTCACCCAAGGACTTCATATTAAACACCTTATTTGAGACCACTACAGTGAAAATGAGGCTATTTTGCCCTTAACCTCCATTCACACTTTCCTTTTGGACATTAATTAGCTTTGTACAGAGACCAAACAGAGACATTTTGTTTCCTGATGCCAATTAGCAGTCGGAGTTACAGCCTTTCTATAATGAACAGCCGCAAATTGTGTCATTTAAAAATTATTTACTTCAGCATGGTGAGATAATGAATCTAATTATGCTGTCAATATATACACTGTAATTAAGAGCAATCAAGATGAAACAGCATGGGAGTGTGAATTTATGGAAACTGTAAAGCAGCTGAATGTCTCATAAGAGTAATTAGCATGTTCTTGCTAACAGAAGCATACTGTGGGTTATAATTGATACTGCAAATATTGCAATAGTATAAAGTCCACAACAAGCACACTCTCCATCACTATGATTGAAAATGTGCATTTATATCCAGGTCTATTCTGCACAATTTGTTAATAGGCTAATTTTTTTGCCAAGCCAAATATAAAATGTCTTACTTCATTATGTAGAGAAAGCATCATCCTCAGTTAAGCTAATCAGTTCCATTTGTGTGGCAAATTGCATTTTATGGCCAGATTTGCCCAGTGCTCTGCATCAATGTAACAGGCACAAGAAATTAATGCACTTTGCAGAAATCCCGGAAAATGATGCCCTGACTCTTTCCAGTGGAGTGCAGATCCTCAAAGACTTAACAATCTATGTACAACGTACTTGATACACTGATGATGTGTTATTCTAAGTACATGCAAACACATTAACTATATAACCAAGTCCATTATCCTGAAGCTGCAGACTAAACCTATATGATCTTCACTATTAACGTGGTCCAAAAATGATTAAAAGAGCACTCACATTAGTATGCATGGTACAATGAGCAGGACAGCAACTCATGCATGGCATACAAACATGAAAGGACAATTCAACAAGTCAATCCATTTGAAAAGTATGTCTTCAGGCTATACTTGTAATATAGACCATATTTGTTAATGTAATTTAATTTTCTACAACATCATCGAGTTTCTGTGGGTGAAAACAGCCACTGACGGACACATAACAGTTGGCATGTTCATCCATAATCCAGACGCTTATCTTTGGGCAGGACGCCATCGAGACTATGACAGGTTTGGGCGCACTATGGACGGAATGGCAATCTTTCGCAGCGCATACAAGCTATGGGCAGTTCAGCAATGGTAATTAAACTAAAGCAAGGCCTACATAGAGATACTAGCACTGACACAGAGAGCTGAATAACAAAAGTTGCCCACGACGCGTACAGCCGCGATAGGTAACTCGGCATTTTCGGGGCGTTCGGAATGCGGGCGACGTCTGCACACTGGCGATTGGTTGGCGTGCGCGCTGCTGATTGGTTGGCGTCCGGCCGGCCTTCCGCTTCCGGGCGTTAGACTCCCGGTGACGTTTACGCTCCGCAGCCTGTCTGCGGGAGAATGGCTGCCAGTGGAGGTGAGCGTTTCCACACTGTTTGGGCTCGACGTTTGAGCACTTTCGGGACGGCTAGAAGTTCCCCAGGGTCCATGGCAGGTTGGGTCTGGATAACGTCTGATTAAAACGCTCGGCGTTATTGGCGGCGGTGTTTTTCTTTACGCTGGTAACCACTGTTATCACTGTATCGGGATGTGGATGGTACGGCGGTAATGGTGGCCGACTCGCCAGCAGTGCTGCCACTCGCGTTATAGCTGCTCCAGGAGACGCTGAGCCTTTCGCCGTGGTGTGCGTTTTGTTTCACACTAACGTTTAAATATTCCTGTGCGAATCAGTTCCAGTAAACGGTGACAGAAACCTTCCGCGAGACCCTTTAGCATCATGCTAAGGTGCTGTTCAGTTTGCACAACAAATGAAGCATCTGAAGGGGTTTGTGTCACGCTTCTGTAACCGGTAAATGCCGGGGTGGCATTTAAATTGGGTAAGCTGACGATCCGCTGTTGGGCATAGGTCTGTCAGTCACGCCTGTGTGTGGTTGCAGGGATGCGATCTTTATGTAAAAGGCCGCGTTTCCCCGGGACACGTAATGTTTTGGAGCGGAATGCCTAGCCGGTTTGCTTTTGTTGTGCTTTTTTGTGGCAGGGGCTGCCTGGTTGCATGGGGGGCTGTCCTCCTGAGCGCTATCCCGCTGTGCGGCTGGGTCGCCGGCCGGCTGCCTTCTAGCCGTGATCATTAACAGGGGTATCTTAAATCAGGATACCAAGAACACGGGCGCAATATATAAAGTGATTATAATGAACAATGCAATTGTGGGTTTTACCCTGCAGCCGGCTGGGAAGGCCATAGTGCTGCTTCCCCGTTTATTCATGTGTAAATCAGGGTTCAGCCCGTTGGCATTTCCTCATTCCTTTACATACGGGTATGTATAGATTTATTAAGCACATACAGATTTTGTCCTGCACTTAAAACGGATAATTTGTCACCATAGCATTTTTTCTTTCTTAAAGTGGAGTCATCAGTCTTGGCATATAAGCAATGGGTGTTTTCTCAGTCGAAGGAAATTTACTGTCTTGTCTTCGTACACTTTGGTGCTTGAAATTTGATTTCCATTCATAAGCTTTGTATTTGTTTAGCATCCTATACTGAAGATTGTGTGATGTTTGTGAAATGTAAAGGTACAGGCAAATTTCTGAGGAAGTAGAAGCCTTATTTTGTTCGATTGGGAGGCTGAGTGTCACTTCCTGCTCCCAGTCATTATCTTCAGGCCCAGTCTGCTGAAAATATGCTTCATTTGAAGATTGTTTGCCAGTGTTTCAATCCACCCCACGCCTGTGTGCTCAGACATAGGCAAACTGCCGCAAGTACAGAATGGGACTACAGCCAGCGCGAGCTACAATGGCGTGGATGCCGCTCATGCCTGCAACGTTCTCCAGCAGCTGAAAGCCTTGTATGATGAAGCACAGCTGACTGACATCGTGGTTGAGGTGGATCACGGGCAGACCTTCTCCTGCCACAGAAATGTCCTCGCTGCAATTAGCCCCTACTTCAGGTAAGGCAGCATGGGGGTGATGCGCCCTTCTGCTTCTTGTAGAAGCTCTGCACCAGTTGCAGGCCTTCGGGGTGCCCAGTGCCACCTCCTAGGACTCTGGCCACTTACTATTCTCTTGTCTGCTCTCCTAGATGTTTCTAATGATGATTGATTTGGAAGAGGTTAAATTATCCAATAGGGTTGAACAATATCACATCACAATATAATCAAGACTATGTGGCGTCTGCGAAGTGATCACCACGGCTTTAGATGCTGGCTGTAATCACTTGTCAGGATGCTGGCTTTCCAGTAAAGTATGGACATAAAGTACACCCACAGTGTGATAAGCAGATTAATAGTACACACAAAACATTAATGTGTATTGTGACTCCCGAAAGTTACTAATCTGTATATATCTGTCGTTTACTTGTTTAATAAATTTGTTTAGCAGAGCACACCACATGCTACTGTTTTGGTAAATCATGGTAACAATAAGCACTGAAGTGGTGGTGAAGAAAGGGGCAGCTGAACAGCCACAACGGGGGGTGGGGGGTTATGAACACGGATAAATAAGCATGTGCTGGCCAGTCAGTTCTAGTGTCATTAAACAAACTGTTTAAAAGGCTAAGTGGGTTAATAGAAGGGCTGATTTCTACCTACTTGCAATCTCATGAATATTGCTAATATGTCACATTTCTTTGTTGTCCAAAGCAGGTTTGGGTTGCTGGGTAAGAGCGCTTTTCCACCACACTTGTGGTACTTTCCCTTTTCCATTGACTTCTGATTGATTACCAGCACCAAAATTTCTACATTCCCAAGTGCCAAACCAATTGAAAGTACTTTTTGGCATTTCGGTACTTTGAGGTGGGGCTTCAAACGATGTCTTTGTCGATTGGCTATGTAAGTGTCCTTCTCCTGAAAAACAATATGGCTGCTGTCTTGAATGAAGTCATGATCTCAGAAAACAACAGAAATTAATTAAAAATAAATAAATAGTAATTATGCGTGAACAAATGAAAAGTTCTTATATTTGCAATCTGGTCAGAAGAACAGATACAAGATTAGGATGGCATGACAAGGAAGAAAATGTATTTTGTACAACATACTAGGGCAGCATGTTATTGGAAACTTGTCAGATATCACTGTGGTTTTGTTGTAATAAATACTGGCATATTTATATAGCAAAAAAGGATTTGAACATAAATTTTTAAAAGTTAAGTTTTACTTGCGATCTGGTTGGAAGAACAGATACAAGATCAGGTTAGCATAACAAGAAAAGTATTTTGTGTAATATACAGCAGGGTTATTCAACTCATGGTCCTCGAGGTCCGAGCCCTGCTGGTTTTCCAGCCTTCCTTTACCTGTCAGTCAGGTGTGAAGCCTCTGACCAATCACAATCAGTAATCATTAAACAACTACCTGGGAGAACTGAAAACATGGCCTCGATTTGGAATCGAGGTCCAGAGTTGGAGAGCCCTGACATGCTATTGGAATTTTTTCGAATAGCGCAATGTGATTTTGTTGTAATAAATATTGGGGTATGTATGAAACAAAAAGGGATTCAACGTAAATTTCTCACAAACCCATCTAGGAGTGATTTAAACGGTGATGATGATTTTTAAACATATACTAGTTAAATCATGGGAAATCATGGGATTTGAATAATCATCAAAATTGCAGAACATTTTTTCCCCTATGACAGTAAAAATGTTTTAGCGAAACTTAATCCTGCGCAATAATGTCTGTATGAAGGTATGAAAAAGCCTGATCTTTATCTAGCTGGGTAGCGGTGTGAGAATTCCATGTGCGTAACATGCGATGTTGGTATTAATATCACACATCCCCCAGCCCTATAATATACCAGTAGTGCTTTCAGTTTTTACACCAGTGGAAAGACAACACCTTGAGGTACTATAGTTTTGGTACTTTCTTGAAGTACCAGAAGTACGGTACCAGGTGCAGTGGAAAAGCGCCCTAAGATGATTATGTCCAGCCTATACTGTGTTTTTATACCTAAGTTCTGGAGCTCGTCCTGTGATCCTGGTTAGTATAAGTAGAGTATGGATGGATGGCATTGCTAGGTATTCATCCTCATGGTGTGTAGCAGCAATGTGTGGTCGTGTTTTATTCAGGTGTTTACGCTGCGAGAATGAGAGAAAAAAGTAATGAGCTTTATGTGAGAGGATATAGAGTTTGATGTGTATATGTCTGTATAGTAGAGCTCCATGATATTCCAAAACAATCACATTGTGATGTTTGAGATTTTTGCAGTAAATATTGTGATTTTTATAAAAACAAAAAATGAATTGAAAATTTACCCTAGAATAAACTAGCCAAGTGGAACTAACTTACCAATTTAGTGCCAAATAAGTTGGTGGTCTTGCTGCAGGTTATCCCAGCAGACAAACAGCACTGCCGACAGATCACTCACTTTTGCTCAATATTGTCTCTACGGAGTTCAAAATATTTCCAGTCAGTGGAAGACAAATGTCTTCTGGTGATCAATTCTTGTTCACTGTTCTCCACTTTAATCTCCATTATTGTTTATTTCTCACAAACCCACCACACTGTCTATAACTGAGTTCAACACCAAGAAGGAAGAGCTCCTGTAAAAGCAGAGACAGCAGCAACAGTAACTTTATGCTGTTTTTTTTTTTTTTATAAATGACTTCCTCTAGAAGATTATATAGTCATTAAAAGTAGACCTTGCTAAATTTTGTTTACAGTAAAAATGTTTCAGTGTAACATCCCTATGTGGTACATGGTTGACATATATCATTTTACATCAACTCGTTATTCAGAAAAGAACCACAATAAAACTAATTGGTGAAAGGAAAAGGACATGTCTTAAGGTAGTCAAGGTATTGGTGTTTTTAAGTTGCAGGATAGTTGTATTTCAAGATCAGGATATCATAACAAGAAATAAAGTATTTTGTATAATATACCATGACAGCACAGTACTCAAATATTGTGATGTGATTTTTGATGTAATAAATATTTGGGTATTTATGAAACAAAAAAGGAGTTCACCATAAATTTCTCATGAACCCGTATAGGAGAGATTTAAACAGCAAGGATGAAGATGGTTATGATTGTCTCAAAGAACACATGCAGAACTGATTCAAAAGCAGTGGAGGTAAAATTTAAACAGATTTTCAAACATGAACTAGATAATCTTGCAAATGAATAATCATTAAAATTGCAAAACTTGCTTGGTTTTTTTCCCCTATGTGGAGGAGCCTGCACTGCTACAGTGTGTAAGGAGCCTGCACTGCTACAGTGTGTAAGGAGCCTGCACTGCTACAGTGTGTAAGGAGCCTGCACTGCTACAGTGCATTGTCGCACCCATCACATGACAAACCACCTCAAGGGTGAGAACCTGAATGCAGCCATGTGGCAGGTGATACATCAGCACCACACCAGTCTGAATGGACGAGTGGGGTTTTTTTCCCCAGTGGCTGGAGTGCCAATCCTGCCACCAAACCCCGAGTTTTTCCCTGTAAGTTGGAGGACCTCCTTATAGGTGTGGATGTAGATTAACATCATACCCAGGACACAGCAATTGCAGGTTAAGGGCCTTGCTCTAGGGACTAGAACTATTCTGGGCATTCATGGGATTTGAACCAGCAACCTTCCAGTTGTAGGCACAGATCCCTAGCCTCAGAGCCACCTCTCCACCCATTTTTTCCTATGACTGAATCAAAATGTTTTAGTGAGACTTAAACTCCCTGCGCTATAATATCCGTACCAAATTGAGGTAAGAAAAGGCCTGATCTTAATCAAGCTGACTAGCAATATAAGAATTGGATCTGCATATTATGCGATGTTGGTATTGATATTGTACGTTGTCCAGTCCTACTGAAGCCATTTTTTGAATTCAGTACAAAATACTCCACCTTGCATTGTGTTGTCATTCGGCACTGGTACCAGTTTTTACGCCAGTGGGAAATCAACACCAAGAACCAACACGTTCTTGAAGTACCAAAAGGAGTATGGTACCTGGTGTGGTGGAAAAGCTCCCTTTAGTTGAGCAATGAACGTACAGCTTTACAGCACTGTACATTTCGGTATTCACGATATTCCTTGTGCCTGTGGTGTTATTCGAAGGCAGATGTATGGTGCAGGAGTGCGCCAACAACGTGACCTCTGCTGTGCTCCAAGCTGCTTCTGTTTCTTTCGGGTCAAAGCCCGGTGAGGAAACTGATAGATAGGTAGGTAGATAGAGATACTTTATTCATCCAGAAGGAAATTTAGGAGCATGTGCAGAGCGCCTAGGCCAGTTCGAGTCCAATTGAACGTATATATGCAGAACGAAATTGACTCCCATTCGCATCATCTTGGTGTCAGTCTGACTTTGAGAAATTTCATTTAGTACGATTTCAGGCGGATTAACATGTTTACATGTACTTTAAAAGTCCGGTTTGATTTTCTATGGTTTGGTATACTTCAGTGTGATATGCACTGTAGCGGAGCACACCACATAATACTGTTCTGGTATACTATGGTTTGGTATACTTCAGTGTGATATGCACTGTAGCGGAGCACACCACATAATACTGTTCTGGTATACTATGGTTTGGTATACTTCAGTGTGATATGCACTGTAGCGGAGCACACCACATAATACTGTTCTGGTATACTATGGTTTGGTATACTTCAGTGTGATATGCACTGTAGCGGAGCACACCACATAATACTGTTCTGGTATACTATGGTTTGGTATACTTCAGTGTGATATGCACTGTAGTGGGGCACACCACATAATACTGTTCTGGTACACTATGGTTTGGTATACTTCAGTGCGATACATACATACTATGAAATGAATGGATGCATTTGGAATGGATTTCAAAATCACAAGTAAATTTCCAACATGGAGAACATGCAAATTGTGACAGCGAGTTTATGGGTCATGATAGTTAGTCATAATTGGAGGACTGGGAACATTTTCACTTCCCAATTAATTACATCAGTACTGCTGAGGGACTCTAACACTGAGCCTGTCTGCCTCCTCTGTTAGATTGAACTCTGATATGTTGTGGAAAACGCATCCAACATGCAAACTCATTCACTCACGACATCTGTGTGTACGCTTGAAGTGAAGCGGAAACGGCCGCAGAACGTTAGTCTCCTGGTAGCATTTACGCTGCTTTTGGTAGGAAATTCAGACTAGGCTAAAAAAAAATAATTATGGCTATAGGGGTGTTTATCGCTACAGATATGCGACCATACACAATAGTAAGGAACATGGGATTCAAGTGGGAATTATTTCATTATAATCGTTGTTTTGATGTTTGAATTTATTTGAAATATTTTTTTTTCCGACGTGCAAATAAACATCTTAGGTTTTGTAATTCAGACACGTCAACAGATGCATTGCCTTTCGTTTACAACTATTCCTAATTGTATTCGCAGTTTTTAAAAACGGTTTTGGAACAAATTTTCTCTGCTGTGCCGAAATTGCACTGAACCCGAACCTGAAACAGAGGTTTGTACCAAAATGTGAATTCCGTGCACCATTACATTCATGGTTAGAAAATAATGTGTAAAATAGGTTATTGCTGGTTTCAGCTGGTTCCAGCTGACTGTCATGATCCTTGTGATGTGACGACTGCGTGTGCATTACATGAGATGTCGATATTAATAATATCATACAGGCCTGACAAGGTCATCAGTGAAGCATAGTGAATCTGGGCTGTACAGCCACAGTGTAAACAGTAGAAGAGCACTCTGAAATGTTTTGGCAGGTCTATGTTCACCAGTGGCCTTACGGAGAGCAGCCAGAGGGAGGTACGCATCGTCGGGGTGGAGTCTGAGTCCATGCGCCTCGTGCTCGATTATGCCTACACCTCCCGTGTCATGCTGTCGGAGTCCAATGTCCAGGCTCTGTTCACGGCGGCGAGCATCTTCCAGATCCCTGCCTTGCAGGATCAGTGTGCCCAGTTTATGGTGAGTCGCTTGGACCCCCAGAACTGCATCGGGGTTTTCATGTTTGCCGACTACTACGGCCACCAGGAGCTGAAGGAGAGGTCGCAGGACTATGTCCGCAAGAAGTTCCTGTGTGTGGCTAAGGAGCAGGAGTTCCTGCAAATGACCGCTGAGCAGCTGGTCAGCATCCTGAGTAGTGATGACCTGAATGTGGAGAAGGAAGAGCACGTCTACGAGAGCATCATCCGCTGGCTGGAGCACGATCTCACCCACCGGGAGCCCCACCTGCCACGGGTGCTGGCCCAATGTATCCGGTTGCCCCTACTGGATGAGGCCTTCCTGAAAAAGATCCCACCCACCTTTAGTCAAGCCCTAGCTAAGGATTGGCTGGAAAAGGGCAAGACTGGTACCTGTCCTCGACGGCTGGGCATGACTGCATCTGCAATGGTCATCTGCTTTGATGCTGCCCACAAGCACTCGGCGAAGAAGCAAACTGTGCCGTGCCTAGACATTGCCACCGGGAAGGTGTTCAAGCTCTGTAAGCCGCCCAACGACCTGAGGGAGGTCGGAATCCTGGTTTCTCCAGAGAACGACATCTACATCGCTGGCGGCTACCGGCCGAGCAGCAGCGAGGTGTGTATCGACCACCGTGCCGAGAGCGACTTCTGGCTCTACGAGCATGCGGGCAACCGCTGGCTTCCGCGGGCACCTATGCTGCGCGCCAGGATCGGCTGCAGGCTGGTGCACTGCTACAACAAGCTCTACGCCCTGGGCGGCCGTGTCTACGAAGGCGATGGGCGCAACGCCCTCAAGTCGGTGGAGTGCTACGACGCTAGGGACAACCGCTGGACAGCTGTCAGTCCCATGCCTGTCGCCATGGAGTTCCACAGTGCCATAGAGTACAAGGAGCGCATCTATGTGCTGCAAGGTGGGCAATCGGCTTCCTCGCTCTGCTTTTTGGCGTGAGGCGTGCTGTTTTTGACGATAAAGCTCCGTACTGTAAATCGGGTCTTTGACCCTGCATGTGTGTGTCCATGTAAGCGAGTACCAGTACCAAGATGATTAGTGGCTTGATATTGATCCTATGATGGGTCGCACTGAGTTATGACCAGCACAACTAGCCCTATAAAGAGCATTTGAATTGTCTGTGTTAATGTGTTTAACTTTGTCTGGCCCTCTGTTAGTCACATCGCTTGTCCTATTGGATGGCACCATTTAACAGAGCCAGTAAAATGTCCCTCCCCCCTCCATCCGCAGGTGAGCACTTTTTTTTCTTCGAACCTCACAAAGACTACTGGGGCCACCTGACCCCCATGAGTGTACCAAGAAGCCAGGGGCTTGCTACCCTGTACAAGAACTGCATCTACTACATCGCAGGGACCTGCCGGAACCACCAGCGCACGTTCGTGGTAGAGGCCTACGACATGGAGAGGAACATGTGGACTCGGAAGCGAGACCTTCCGTTTGATCAGGCAGCCAGCCCCTACATCAAGGCTCTCCGCCTGCACGGCCAGATGCACCTCTTTGTCAGGGCCACTCAGGTCACCGTGGAGGAGCACGTCTTCCGGACCAGCCGCAAGAACTCACTGTATCGATACGACGACGAGACCGATGAGTGGAAGAAGGTCTACGAGACACCTGACCGCCTGTGGGACCTCGGGCGCCATTTTGAGTGCGTTGTTGCCAAGCTCTACCCGCAGTGTCTCCAGAAGGTGCTCTGACAGTGAAGGGAACAGTGTCCAGAGTAGCTGAATTTGTCAGGGAGCCTAGTTCTGCCCTGCTCTTGGTGCTGTCCATGCTGGCAATATGAGGGATGGAGAGCCGTGAAAAGCATTAAGCGTCTGCCCCCTTCGAGACGGGCACTCTGAAGCTTGCGGAGTCAGGTTTCCGGCTCCACCCCCACCTTCCCTATTACAGATGCCTTCCAGTGGTACTAGATTGAAAAGTGCAATTATCACTGTGCCTGTTCAGTGTGTCTGGGTGCTCTGCTGGGAGACAGCGGGCAGGTAGATTCGCAGAGAGGGAGGGAGGGAGGGAGGGAGGGAGGAAGAGAGATGTAGATATAGAGAGATATAGAAAGATATAGAAAAGAGGTCACGTTGTGAAAATGTATACTGCGTATATACGGGTATGATCGACAGTGCTGCTTGTTAAGTTCATTTTGTTATATTAATTTTCCTAAGTTGAACTATGCCTCATTTGTGTTTAGTAGTTATCTTTTAAGTTGATGCTCCAATAGTGAAGATTTGGTGCAAGGGGCAGTGTTTTATCAGTTTTATTTATATTTTTTTTTAATGAACATGTCCGTTTAGCTAGGTAGTTCTGGGGAGTGCCTGTTCTTTATATACATATATATCAATAAGCATAATACATTTTTAAAGAGCCAGCAAGTCATTCTGGGCAAATTAAGCATTTCCGTTATACAGTCATTGAATCGAATTCATTTGTCATATTGCTGTTCAATATTTAGTCGTGTAGCTATGGAAGCTATAATTCTGGATGTAAATGTGAAGGGTGCGCTTTTAAAAAGGCTAGAATGAACGCATCCGCGCGTTTATCAGCATCGGGCCGATTTCACAATACGCAATAAATGAGGATTTGAGCCGTATATATTGACTGTGTGGATTGACTAGCTTTGGCAAAGGTGTCGTCTGGTTTCTGTAGCATGTTTCCAACTCTGTTACCAGTTTCTCGTAATCTCACCTCGTTGTCTAATATCAAACTATGATTAACAGGTTTCAGAAACGCATTTCAAATACCTCTTCGTAGCATCCGTTTGGTGTCCGGAAGCAATAATGAACAGAATGGTGATAGGGTGTTCAGGCATAGACACCGTACCTCCTGTTACAATGTCAATGTCGGGCCTGATCGGGGCCATTTTTGTCCGAGTTGTGCCGCAGCACTGGCGTGTCGCTGTCCCCGCTGGCTGGGTGCTCCATTTTCTGCTCTGGGATGAAAAGTGTGACCACAGGCTTTGTGGAGCCATCCTGCTTCTCATCGAGCGCGAGACCGAAAGGTGCACACCTGTAAATATCCACCTTGGTTATACGTGCTGCAGGACATGTTGCTGATTTAATACAAGCTAAACTGTTGGTGCTGCTTTTTTTTGACAATCTTGTACAGTGTAGAGAGATCACATCCAAGCATCATCCTTTTGTTTTCACCATTTAAACTACTTGTCAGGAATTTAAGGTGTTTCCATTAATTTTTCATATTTGCACTACGTTTCAGAATTTCTTGCTCGGAGGTAGATGCCGCTAAACTCGAACTGCAAACAGTCTTAAAGCCAGTCACGATGTGCTGTGTGCTTTGTAACACACTGTGTCTCTGTGTCAAACCCGTGTTCAGAAGCACCATAGGGGTGTGTGTTTCATGAAGCCTGCCACCTGTCACCCCCATCCTGTGGAAGCGCAGCATGTGATTAAATACCCATGGTGGGGTCCCTGGTGTCTTCTCTTAATGAACATGTCTGTGTTTAGGGAGTTCAGGCATTCTGCTGCAAGATTAGGGGAACTGAAATGGACAATTCTCAGGATAATATCAATACACAGTACTGTAACTCTGCTAAATGTGTATCATACTGTACAATACGTTTGCTCTACTTGCACAGATTAAGTAGGTTTTGGAACCTGAAGAATAGGTGTGATTCCTCCACCCCCAATATATTTTAATTAGTGGTGTGTGTTTTTTATTTTATATATTTACTATTTACTTGGTTTGATTAGTTAGATGGATGATTAGCTACAGAAAGTGTATACAACGTGACATCGAGATCAGAAATGGTTGCTTTCTCCCAATGTATAAAATTCCTGCAGAGTGCATATGAAGTTTGGTTTAAAGAACTGGACAACTCAAATTTTGCATGCGAGATTGTTTCAAAGGGTTGTTTTTGTTTTTTAATTTTATGTAAAAGCTCTGGGCTTTGAACATGACCTGTACGGCACTAAGTACCAGTGAGAATGGTATACCACCATTTTTTTTTTACATGATTGTTTGCTATGCGAGTTTTCTATCATGGAAAAAGTTGTGATGTACTGTGAAATTCATTCCGTACATACTTTGAGAATAAAAATGGATAAAACAAACTGAATTCTCACTTTTTAAATAATGTGGTATTGCTGGGAATTTCATTTTTACTTGGTCCCGTATGGGATTTACATGGGAGAAAATAAATAAGTTAAACGAGTTTGTCGTGTGGCTCCTATTTAAGCTAAAGTGAACGGTAATTGAACCCTGAGGTCTAATGTTTACTGTACTTTTTAGTAGGAGAAATGCAGAGACGTTAAGCCATTAGGTCGCCTACTTATCTGTGTGGGCCTAAGTATGAATGTGGAGTTCTGGGTGAAAAGCCCTTTGCTCTGGGTGAACACTATGGGTTAACACTAGGGGTTAACACTAGGGGCAGGGTCAGCACTTGCGATCGAAGGAAGTCACATTTGTCACTAGAGGTATTTTAAGCTGGGTTCAGCGCCAGTTAGGAGGCACCACGGCATAACATCTACGATCGGTAAGACGCTATATTTTATTTCCGATGTTTTCGCTTAGTGTGCGGCGCACGTGGGGAGGGATGGGCGAACCTTAATCCGGATCCCCCACGTGTGTGACGTTATCCGCCGACGGCCAGCTAATGCTCTATAACTTACAAACTCTACCACGAGTTAGTCTTTCCCGGTACAAGTGGACCCAGTCATTGCGATTTTCTGCCCTTAAAAGGTTAAGAACTTTGAAATACCGTTTTAAAGATTTGGTAAGTTTGCGTTTTTAAGCAAGCCTACCAAGTTGTAATTTATACGGCAAATACCTCTCCGGCAGCCCACTGAAATGAATATTTTGTCTCAATCACGTTGCGATGATTGAGAGAAGTCAATGTATTATAAAATACTCACTTCTGAAAATAAGGCGCGAAACATGCAAGTAAAATCACAAACGATTCCACGCGAATGATTTTAATTTGTAATGCAGTCTAAACGATTAAACATCTACCTTAAATTTAAGTTCGTAGTCGGAGTCCACGCTTTAATTAGATGTTTTAAAGCTTAACTTATTTAAAGGAATTTTATCTTTGAAACATATGTAATGGATACATTTATCATCGTACAACTTAGTAACAATACAGTAAGGCATTCCTTTGCTTTGACAACCGTTTTATTTTCCAATCTCAAAATTAATATCAAAGAATGCATACTTATTTCCCACGAAAGACCACTCAATCATACATTTATTACAAACTATATCGGCCATGATGTGTTCCGAGTATGAATAAACGTGGATAACGTACTGGAAACATTCGCATCTGAAAACCAGCCCGATCATCTTAACACATCTTCCCAAGGTAACAGTAATAAGGAAATTAAAAGGTTTAATGGTTTCTTTTGGCCACAAACATAACCGTTTCCCCCTGTTGCTCCAGACTGATAATGTCCGCAGCAGCGTCTTCGGCTAGCACACCTCCGGACGGCGGGTGGGGCTGGGCCGTGGTGCTCGGCGCCTTCATCTCCATAGGCTTCTCCTACGCCTTTCCCAAAGCCCTGACCATCTACTTCAAGGAGATCCAGGAGTACTTCTCAGTGTCCTACAGCGAGATTGCCTGGGTGTCCTCTATCATGCTGGCTACCATGTATGCGGGAGGTAGGTGTTATGAACAGTACAGCCACAAGGAGGCGCCACAAGTTGAAACAGGACGTCAGTGTGGTTTTATTTGTCCACAACCCATCCATCTTTCAGCCATTTAATTTGGCTATGGTCGCAGCACAATCGTGAGTCTTGATTGTAAAATTACCAACCCTTTATCTAATGTATACCTTTAGGTATTGTAGTAAAATTCATAATGGTCTTTGAATCCTAATTTGAATTTTTCAGAACAGCTATTGATTGCAGGTTTGTCTAGAAAGCTTGTGGTGATGGACTGGCCCAGTGGGCTGAATTTTGATACCTGTAGAATGCCTTGCCAAGGAAACACAGGTTCTTGTGTTTCATGCAGACGATTGCCTGCTTCCTTGTCTGCCACACAAAACTTTTCACAGTCAAATGAGCCATGGGGTTGGGTACTGCTTCATTTCATTAATGTCATCATTACAGTAGCTGTATCAGGGGACATTTTACAGGGGACAGGCCTGGTGTCTCTGCTCTAAAATCACACACCTCCATGCTTGGGTGTCTGACATGAATTTTGAGTTGAGTGACGTTTTTTCTCCACAGTGGAGGAGGGAAGGAGGTCATGCAGACACTCATTGCCTCTTTATTTGTGCAAACAGCCACGACTGACTGATGTTTCTTTTCCTCAAGGCTATTTTCTGTAAGACCTGCCTCCCAGTTCCATCACCAACAGTTCATTTTTAAACAGAGTTCCGTGAGAAATGGCCAGCTTGAAAATTTTCTGATGTAAAAAAGGAAATTATAGTCTTTCAGAAATCTGACAGTTTTTTTGTGCAAATGTTTAATTCTCCTTGTCAGTTTGTGAGATACCGTCTTCCGAAAGCTATTTATTGGGACCGGATTGCTTATTATAGCACTGTGCAAGGTTACTGGCCAATGCTGTCTTACTCCCTCTTTCTCTCTCACTCGCTCACAAAAGCAGCGGAGAAAATGCAGGTGAAATATTCCCATGTACAAACGCGGAGGCACCAAGCTTCATCATTCTGTCCTTGGCTCTATTTTGCAATGTCATCCAGTGGCAGAAGGGACACGAGTTCCAGGTCTAAAGGTGACGGCGTAGGTCAGCAGTGGCGGGATTGTAGCGGTAGACATCAGGGGCTGTGACATCCTCAGCGGCAGGTTCTCCAATAGATGGTTCAGACTAATAACCCACAAGATGCCCTTTTCTTCCCATATATTGAGAGAGATACTTCTCTCCAACCTTCAGATGCTGAAAGGTAGCTAAAAACGCAGGAAGGACAATGAGCATTTAGCATCGGAAGCCCAGTAATCCTGAGCAATATGTAATCTTTCAGTACACAAGTCTCACCTGTGTCCGAAGAATTTAATCTCTTTAATGTAGCAAAGAGTGGAGTTCATCTCGGGATCATAGTAACACAGAAATGGACATTTCTCTGCCCACACAGCCTTTAAGGATGTGCTTATTTAATATTTAACGTCATTTCAAAGAACTGCTGTGGTTTCATATTAACTATATTTAAAAAAAAAAAAAACATTTGATAATATTTGTTAAATTGCCTTAACTCAAGCCCATCTGTAAAATGTGCAATTTGTAATAGACACAATGTTTATGTGAGTAATATGTAACAGACTAGGAGGTGGGGGGGGTCCCAACCCCCAGTCCAGAACGCCACTGGGATGCACATTGGGGGTCCTGCAGAGGTTAATTTCCAAAAATAAAATAAACCATATATTTTTAAATATTTAAACTTATGAAATTGCCCCCCCCCCCCGACTGCTATTTCACATGACTTAACTCGGTCAGTGAACATCAGAAGGTCCAGGAACTAGGCCGACGTAAACTCCTGGCTTTGGAACCAGTCAGTATAGAAATGGGATGTATATGACATGGGGGGTGGCATTGGGGCGGGGGGGTGGCATTGGGGCGGGGGGGTGTTAGGGCAATTCATGGGGCCCAAAATTTCTTTCCGGCTCCAGTCTCATATTTCAAGGTGGTGATGCACTTTTTCAGCAATATTGCCAGGCAATGTTGCTGTCAGTGGGCAACCAGGTGAGACACAGGACAGCCAATCAAGATGAAGGACAGTTGGCAACAACCAACCAGAGAAGGGCAAATCTATTGCCAGGGAGACAGACACCAGAAACATGGATGCTGAAGCTCCAAGTGGGTCACGTGATCGGCTGGTAGCATTCTGATTTGAAGATTTCAAGAAGTTGCCCTTTGTGTCATCACCTTTTCACTTCTGCTGTCACACACATCAGCTAGTTTCAGACCAGGTGCTTCAGGTTCAGCTGAGATTTAAAAAAAATTCAGAGTAATAACCTTAACCTTATGGTGTATATACTCTGTAATTTTATATATTATCTATTCTCAATAAAGTCACGGATTGTTTTGTATAACTATGTATTCTAGGTTATTCTGAACTTCTCCAGAGACAGCGACAATGACTACAAACCTGATAGTCATGTCAGTTTATATTGCTCCTTGCAGAAATACTGGTTCAACCGGTTCCTTAATTATAGTGGAAGGGTCACTGAGCTTCAGAATAAGTGAACATTACTGGAAAGCTTTCCTGATCCGTGTAGCAGTGTAAGCATTATTACAGTTTTTCGAAATCATTAGCTAATGAATATTGGATTTGAAAGATGGCAGAAGCCGTGTCTTTCTCTCTGCATGAAAGTGAACCATCATGTTAAATGTGCGTATGGAAATGATTCGTACTTGTTTCCTGCCGGACGCATGATCCTCTTAATGTCGACTTTCCTGTTATTGTGATTCTGGAAAAGCTCGATGGCAGCTTTGTCCGGAACCACAGCGATGCGTTACCAAATTACGTGCTGGAATAATTAACATCTATCATTTTGAAGCATAATTGATGCTGAAATTAAGCAGCTTTGAAACCAGGAGCCGAATGTGGAATATGGCTCTCCGTAGCCACAGATTGTACTGGAAACACGGCAATCCCCATAAATGTTACCAAAACTCAGCCCCCCGGGCTGTATGATCTGGTTTCATGCTAAGAAGTTTAATGACGTCATGACTCATGCTTTTACTTGGGCGTCCTGCACGGTGCGCCAACCCATTCTATGTGAGTCACTGACTGTTACCTACTGCAAAGGCGTTATCGCTACCTGCCTGAGTGATCATGTGATCATGCTGCTGGGCACACAGAGACCCAAATCATTGGTCACATGACCCACACTGTGATTAATCGCTGCTGGTCACATGACCCTGGCCGACAGGCTTGAAAGTGTTACCTGAACCTGAGAGGAAGGTCATTGCCTTCCTGTCTTCTGCAGTTTTCAGGAAATCTCCTTTCCCAGAGCCACAGGCCATGGTCTGTATTGTGTCTACATGGGCCACAGTAACCATCGATTAACCCTAATTAAGATTGTGTTAAGGTTTTAAAGTATCTTTAGTTCTTCAGAAAGGATGCTCAAAGAAGAGGATTTCAGCCAGATTTCTAAATCATCTTTGGTCTGCATTCGCTAATGGGTTTGTGGATCGACTTGTTGAGATCTGGAAGAGAGATGCCTCTGATCTGTAGAGGTTAATGCTGCTTTTACCTCCTGTCTCTCTCCTTTTGTTTCCATCCTCTTCCTGTTTTCTTCAGGACCTTTCAGCAGCATCCTGGTGAACCGGCATGGCAGCCGACCCGTGGTCATAGCTGGGGGGATTATGTGCGGCGTTGCCATGGTGACTGCCTCCTTTGGAAGCACCATTTTGCATCTGTACATATGTATCGGAGTCATCGGAGGTATTTATGCAGAATTCCTCTCTTCTGAGCGCACAGTTTTTGTGATGATATAAATGTGTGACAAACCTTAACCTTCCCGAGTTCAGAATGAAAATGTTGTGCTTGTGAGATGGAGGAAGGATATGGACATATTTTATTTAGGGGGGGGCAGCTGCCAGTTGATGACATGGGGGTTGCGTGGTACATTGTGGGTAGTGGAGTTACACAAAGTCTGCATCCCCCAGTGATTGGTCTCATATTAATCTTCCAAGCTGAATTATTTTCCACGCAACAGGGGAAGCTGCTCAGGCCTGTTCAGGCCTGCTGTCCCTCCCGCCCCGTGCTCAGTGTTAAACAACCCGCTCGCTCTCTGTCCTCTGTGGTGCGGGGGCATGGCGATGGCCATGGGGCGGCACTGCGAGCGGATGCAGCTCCGCTGATGGCCATGGGGCGGCACTGCGAGCGGATGCAGCTCCGCTGATGGCTATGGGGCGGCACTGCGAGCGGATGCAGCTCCGCTGATGGCTATGGGGTGGCACTGCGAGCGGATGCAGCTCCGCTGATGGCCACTCCTGAGGGTGTGCTGAGTGATGGGCTCTACCGAGGGGGCGCTTGTCCCTGGGGAGCCACCTGCGAGACTCATTACCTGGCAAACAGCCGGCTGTGAAGAATTAATTGGGGTGGGGGTGCGGTGACCGTGAGTGCTCATGGAGCGAGTACGTCCCACTTTGGGGCCTGTGTTCTGGAAGCCGGCAGAAGTTTACCTGGTTGCCCTGGCAGCAGATGCCTATTGGGGGGGGATGGGCCATTTGCTCAATGCTCTGACAGGGACTGACAAATGGTTCAACAGACAGGACGCCTCACAGAGCGTGGCCCTTTCTGCCTGCCTCTCTGAACGGGCCGCTCGCTGGGCTCTGTCCTGTCATCAATTGGATCTAAGTGGTTCCGTTTATCTTTGAAGACGGTCTCAGTTACCCTCAGTTTCTTAGGGTTCTCAGAAAACAGAAAGACTTTTCACTTAGGCCCATTTTAGAGTAAAATGATATAAGGAATACATTTTTTTGTTTTGTTTTTTGCTTATATACAGATTAAGCTCAGGTATGAAGTATAAAAAACAGTAGAAACTGTAGTAGATGTTTTCAAAGTCCTTGAAATGATTTAAACAAATCAGTCCACTCTAGGAACTTTCACTTGCAGAGTGAAGACTCATTTTGAGGAGTCAAACACTGATTGCCAGAATGAAACAATTTAATTGGACCTTTAGGAAGAAGGGTAGTGAACGAATGACTTTGAGTCGTGATTTATTACTATTTAAATGGATAAATTATTTCTGAAATGACTGTGTCCAGTAATGAGGTTTCAGTTGGCGATTTGAAATGAGATGGAACCTTAATTTACAATGAAGTACATTCAGTCATAATTTAATCTGGTGGTACAGGCATCTGAGAATTAGGGTATGCAAATTGAAATCATTTACATTTCTCTCCCCTTTATCCTGCAGGTCTCGGTCTGTCCTTTAACCTGCAGCCGTCTCTGACCATAATCGGGCAGTACTTCCTGGCCAGGAGGCCTATCGCCAACGGCCTGGCCATGGCAGGAAGCCCTGTCTTCCTCTCCACCCTGGCCCCCCTCAATCAGTTCCTCTTTGATCATTTCGGCTGGAGGGGGGGGTTCTTCATCCTTGGGGCTATGCTGTTGAATTGTTGTGTAGCCGGAGCGCTGATGAGGCCCATTTCAGGAAAAGCAGGGCGGCGGCCGGCCGAGAAGGTCACCGGAACCATTCCTGGGTTCCATTCTACGAACGGTTCTGTCGGTGTGTCAGAGCCGGAGAGGATGACGTGCATCGACAACGTCAGCAAGTTCGTTGATTTCTCACTCTTCAAGCACCGTGGCTTCCTCATCTACCTGGTGGGGAATGTGGTCATGTTCTTTGGCTTCTTTGCCCCCATCGTCTTCCTTGCCCCTTATGCCAAGCACCAGGGCATCGACGAGTACTCAGCTGCCTTCCTGCTCTCTATCCTGGCCATGGTGGACATGGTTTCCCGCCCTAGTACAGGTCTGCTGGCCAACACCAAGTGGGTCCGACCACGGATCCAGTATCTGTTCAGTTTTGCCGTGGCCTACAACGGCGTGTGCCACCTGCTGTGTCCCTTGGTCACCAGCTACGGGGGCCTGGTGGCCTACTCGCTCTTCTTTGGGGTGGCGTTCGGCATGGTCTGCGCCCTGCTCTTCGAGTGCCTGATGGACCTGGTTGGCGCACAGCGATTCTCCAGTGCCGTTGGGCTTGTCACCATCATGGAGTGTTGTCCTGTGCTGCTCGGACCACCAGTTGGAGGTGAGTGTCCATTGTGTCCTGAAATTCCCCCCCCCCCCCCCCATGAGCTGCTTCCCATCTTGAAGGCTCTTCACTCTAGGTCTTGATAAAAATCACATGCATGTGCTTTATAACTCCCGGGATACGGTTGGAGACTAAAACGGTTGGTAAATAAATGAGGGAGTAGAGTGACATCATAATATAGTTCCTGGCTATACGGATTTGCTATGAAACCATTTGAGTGGTTTTTGTGGTGAGACATTCCAGCACAACTGGATTATCGTCAGTCGGCAGGAGCTCGGCTCAGTGTGGCCAGAGAAAAGCCGTAATTGGTCACGCTTATTTGCCGGGTGAGACGCTCCGGCTTCCAGGGCGCGTTCGCTGGAGGATACGGCCCCCCCGCACACATCATGGAATGTTTTTTGGTGCTAAGAGCCTGTAAGTGTAATGATGGTCTCCCAGCGCCCGCCTGTTCTACCCGGCCTCCCCTGCGAGGCGCGCCGACTTTCGCGCCGGAGGAATCAGCTTCCATGCTTTGCTGCTCTCAACAGTCCCTGCCATGATCTCCTATGAACCATTAGCGTGACATTAGTCTCCCGGCTGCACAAATCAGCTACAAGACTAAATCTCTGCTGAGTCATGTGACCACAGGGCTCCACTACCACTGCTGCCCACAAATGACTTAATGGAAGCTTTAGCTAACACAGGGCTGGCAAGTTTGCTCAGCTGGTTGGAGTGAGATTTTCAGTTGTGCAAATCTCATTTACATGTATGTAACAGATTTATTACCTTGTAAATAGTCTCATAAATCTCAGAATTTGGAAAACACTTAACTAATTCCAAAGAATTAGTAAATAAAAAGGTGTTTCCCCATAGAAACTGGCTATGGGGTGTTTTATTACGGCCCTCTGTAGGCCTGGTTTTTAATGAGGTATAAATTTATAGGCTTTCTGTGTTCTTTGCATGACCCACTCACAGGTGCTCATCTAATGGAGCAAATAAATGCCTCCCTACGTGTTGCGTGATTATTCGGCATTCTGGAAGGCCACGGGCGCTACATTTACCCTTACAAGTTCCCTCGTTACGAGACGCCTGCTCGCACCACAGCCCAACCTCCGGGTCAGCCTAATTAGAAAGAAAAGATGGAAATTGCTGTAATTAGCCTTTAGCTTGGCGCTTAATGAGTGAAGTCTGAGTGAAATTCATTAAGGGCCCTTACCTGTGTGATAATTAAGCAACAAATACATTAAAAAGGAGCCGGCTTCACCAGATGGCCATAATTACCGGCCCAATCGAGGGCCGCTTTAATGACGACGGTGGTCCTCAGCGCACACTAAAGGAGAAATGTGATCAATCAGTTGTAAGCCTTCAAGCTGGGACGGTGTGAGCTGAGGGCAGAGTGAGTCACTGGCCGTGACTCCTGTGCAGAAGGTGACTCATTAAGATCCTGTTCTTCTGCCTGTTTGTTTAACCTGCGACCCACTTCAATGCTTGTCCAGCGATTACTCTAAGCAGTCTCGTCTTGTGTAGATCACCAATTATAACAATTGCTCAACTGGGTCCGTGTCAAATGCACAAAGCCAGTGTTTCTAGATGTTTCTAGATGATTACCTGCGATAAGAGCCTGGCAGGTTTATTTATAATGCTGCAGATAATCAATCCAACGTCTAACCACATCAATGTCTGCATTCCAGAATGAGAGATAAAGGGGCCTATCGGCTTACACTCTGAGGCAAAAAACTCGAGAGGGAGATTAAAAAAAAAAGTAGGCTAAGTGAAGTGTAACTTATGCAAGAAATAATAGACTATGGTCAGTATATATGTCTGTGTGGTTGGCGGTGAGCTTTGCGTGCTAATGATACGTTAGCATCCATTGCGGGTTGAAGGTACAGCTGAAAGGTTAGGGAGGAGCCACACAGCCATTCCCTTACCCCCCATCGCACGTCAATGTGACCGCTAGCTTCTGCTGGATCTCTGTCTCGCACCACGCTCCCATGCTCCAGCCTGTTCACCGGTGAGCCCTCGTTCTCCTGCAGTTCCTGATACTCGCCGGTTATCGGAACCCGGTGGCCCGGCGGGTGCGTCTGGCAGACTGTGGGCATGAGCGGGCCGCAGAATTGATTTATCACTGGCTCCCACACACTCAATGGGAAAGGTGGCGGGAAAATGGGCTGGCTAGATGTCGGGATTAGGGCTAAGACGCAGCATGCACCTGAGGCCTGGGTTTAATTACATTCCTCCCTCCCTGTCATCACATGAGGATCGTCAGTCATTCTTTAAATATACATTTTTAATGTCTCAATTACAGGGGAAAGGCTTTTTAATGGGATATGATGTGGGGAGCGTTTCTGCAGTTGATTTGAAATACGTCCGGTCATGTCCGCGCCCCTGAGCAGCCGGCAAGCCTCGGGCCTGTTTCCCTTCTGCTTGATGAGTCACACTTGTAGCTAAGATGCAGCCGGCGCTGGTCATCGATTAGCCATGATAGCAGAGTAACCCTTCAGCCATTCAGATAATGAAGCCGCATGACGAGGCTGCATGCGGCTGCAGGCATGTGACCATGACTGAAAAAAGTCACCTCTTTATATTTTCATTTAGGGTCTTTTCCTTTTGAATCAGATCACATTGTGCTGTATCGTCGTATGGAATTTAGGTATATGTATGAAGGCTCTACACATTTTAACTTTAAGAGCCATGTGTCATAGAAACTGCTGCAACATCTATAGGGTGTGATGTGGAATGGATTTCATGTAAACCCAGAAGGAGTCAGAATCTAATCTGTGATAGAAATAAGGAGAAATCTTTATGCGAAGCACAGGCAAACCTGACGGCCTGTTTAATCTATAATCGTCAAATTTTTATGGGTCTTGCTGATGTGGAAAATTAATATTGTATATAGAAACATGAATAAATACCCGTAAAGAGCAGGAATAGCTGCAGTCAGTGGCAGGGACAGCCAGGCATTAGAGGGGGGGGGCTGTCCTTGCGGAATCCCCGTAACGCGTGTATATTTTGATGTTCAAAATATGAGTAGCTGTCATCTCTATTTGAAATGTGATTTATGCTGAAGCAGTTTGATACTCTTGAGTCTTTGGCATTAGGAGTATTTATGCTATAGCGATGCATGCCCGGTGGTGTAATTACACTGCATCGCCTGCAGGGGCGCTGGTGGACGTCTTCGGTGACTACAAGCCCATGTACCTGCTGTGTGGGGGGGTGATGCTCAGCGCCGGGCTCTTCCTCTTCGTCATGAACTTCTACAACTACCGGCTACTGGAGTGTGAGCAGCGGGCGCTGGCTGCGGAGGTGAAGGAGCTGTGTGCCATGGGGGGGGCAGCAGCGGAGGAAGCGGGTGCCACTGGCCAAGGACAGCATGTGGAGGAGGCTGGCCGGCCGGAGACTTGGGTCACCCATACATGACCATGTGGACCATTCCATGGAACCGATGACACCTGTCAGACGGGTGTCCCACTGTGGACTGCGCTCTGCTCTGGGACTGGCTTCCCTGTGACGGTGCCATAATTAGAAATACTTCCCCTCTGGTTCATCAGGCTACTACAGACATGAAGAACATAAAGACCAGTAAAGCGAAACACAAACACTCCCCCCCGCGCCCCCCCCCAAGGCCCCTTTTAGTTTTCATGTCAGGCCGGATGCATTTTTCACAGCAGTGACAGGCTAACCCTATACGCTCACCTCATTGTGTGTAAATTACAGGAGCAGAGGGACACACTGTCACACTGTCACAGTGTCACACGCAGGCCGCAAATATCGCTTCTTTTTACAAGGTCTAGTTTTTCTTTGCTTTAAAATTCTGCACGTATCTGGCGACCAAGAAGACGAAAAAAGTGGGTGTGGGTTCCGAAAACGAACACATAATAACCTACGATCTTCCGTCATTATCAGCCATTTTAGTTGCTGTCAGCAGTACAGCAGTCTGACGTCCCTGGATGGTGATAAATCAGTTTGCTTATGGGTCATCATTGTATATCAGGAACACAATGTACAATACATCAGAGTTTTTTTGTCTTTATTTTTAAATCATGTGAGATGTTGTAAAACCCAGCATTAGCAAATTCATTCTAGCAATTTCTATGTTGCACTGAAATTCAGCTACCTCAGAGGACACCGCTCAGCATTAAATAACCATATGCTACCCTTGGAAGAGAGTCATTTATCTGTAATCCAGCCCCATCTGAAGGAAATGTATATTTTGTCTGAGCAAATATAAAACGTCAAGTCAGCTGGTAGCTATGGGCATATAGATGCTACAGTGAGACTTCAGTGAAGTTCCATATCTTATGACAGATTCTCTGCGTCATGTCGAAGCAGGTAGTGCCCCCATTATCCAGACAGCTTCACCTGCTGGGCTCTTTGTGAAAATGAGCGTCATAAAAATTACACTCCAATTCTAAAAGGGTAAATGTTAAAGATAGGCCTGTCTTTTGCTGCCTGTGGTCTGTGTGAAACCAGCAAACAGAAGAAGTACGTTGGTATATATGATTTACAGGCAAATTGCTTTTTGTTCCTGTGAAGCGACCGCGGTAGTTTAATTTTGCACAGCGATTACAAAGCCTAGGGACGACGCTGAAATGTCACATCTAAGGGTGTGAGTGCCTAATAATGCATGGCCGGCACCCTGCGGGAAGTTCTGGGCCAGTGCCTGTAGCTGCATGGTGCCTCTGACACTCAGCGAATCGCCAAAGCGGTAAATAAATTACAATCCATGTTGGAGGTCCCTGGACGGGCCCTTGGATGGCGGGTGAGGGGCCCCAGAGACGCAGGGTTCCTGCTGAGGCAGCGTACCCCCCACTCTCCGGCAGCCCCGCCCACCAGCATCCCAAACTCAAAACTTTCACGGCCCGCAGCCCATGCCCTTCAGCGTCCCCCTAACCACGCTCGTCACGGTGACTGAAGCTGCTGTCACTCTGCAGAAAGGTGAAGGTGGGCTGGCCCTGAATAGGTGGGGCGAGCCTGGCCCAGAGTGCCGCGGCACAGCGAGGTGACTGCTGGCGGTGCGGTGACTGCTCGCGGTGTGGCTCGGAATGCGCGGCACTGTGGAATACAATGGGAAGGTGACCCCATTAAGCAAGGCTGTTTGTAGGGCTTGGGGACCCAATAGAAACCTGCATGTGTCATAGAGCCCTCTCCAGTTGGGGGGGGGGGCACCATGTGACGAGGCCATATCCGTGCGTTCTGCAAGCAGAAATGAGGCGAGTCAACCTCAATCTCTGACTCCAACTAGGTCCGGCTTCTTGGAGGAACTTTGGCTCCTGGGGGACTAGAGTCCCAAGTGGGTAAGGGTACAGAGAGGTAATCTGGGAGAGACTCCCCAAGTAAGGGGGGAGGCAGGAACGGGGGTGCAGGCTTAGCGCTGGGAGAGCTCTGCCTCCATCATGGTGTTTTACGGAGAGTACAAATGGCTAATCGCGCTGATTAGATAAAGGCTGCGGTTTGTCCCCGCATTCTGTGATACTTCTCTGAAAGGCCAATGGGCAAACGTCTGCTGTGAAGATGAACCTCTGCATTTCCACACCGGCCCTCCAGTTCCCTGCAAGGACACTAGACTTGATGAATCTGGGGTCGAGATTCACATCCCCAACGCCATCCATATTAGCATAATCCTGTCGCATTAAATACAAAGGTTACTTTCCCACCGGGTGCATCTGTGCATTTTTAATTAGCGCTTTTAGCATTAATACGTGTACAAGGTTCAGGCCTCATTATGAAAAAACATCTGAAAGGTTTTTTGGCAAAATGGGTTTTTGACAATCTGAGGGACTCAGGACTCCAGCAGGACACATGCTAACATGACGACGGGAAGCTGCTTACTCTGTCATCCACGGTGACCTGGATTAAAACGGAGCTTGGAGCTGACACATGAGGAACCCCTTCAGAGAGGCCTGCCTTACTCCCAGCTTACTTCCAGCTAGACAGTGTGAACTGGGACTTTGCCATATTGCTCATTTGACTTTTTCTGCTGCCCTTTGAGTCTGGTTCCTCCCAAGGTTTCTTCCTTCTATTGAGTTTTTCCTTTGCCACAGTCGCCCCTGGCTTGCTGAGTCGGGGCTTTGGGTGGAGATTCTATAAAGCGCTTATGAGAATGTAATGTTATGCAACTGTACTATACAAATAAAATTGAAATGAATTGAGTTGAGCTCTCTACTTGTTCACTCATGGCCTTTGATCAATGCCTGTTGTCTTTTACATCTGATTATTACGAAGCCTGAAAATAATTACGTTCTATTTGAAAAAACTGTAGTTGCATTGAAAAAAGTTCAGACTTTGATTTGCAAATTGAGTGTCACTGGTTAGACTGGTTTGCTGTGTAGATTGAAGCTACATTAAATACATGGTCTTCCAGAACTATCTGCTAGCCCTCATTCAGTCTGGATTTAGCAAACTGTATAAATGTTTAATTACAGTATGTTTGACTGGCTATCGACAGTCTTTTTAGGCATTGTTACGCAAATCTGAGTATGCAGAATCGGCTCTATGGTGATGCCAGTTTCTGCAAAGTTGGTAGCATCTGCATGAAGATGGCAAACATGAGAAGGAGTGTGTACTGCATGTCTGCGGATCTCCGTCCAAAGGAGTGTGTACTGCACGCCTGCGGAGCTCCGTCCAAAGGAGTGTGTACTGCACGTCTGCGGATCTCCGTCCAAAGGAGTGTGTACTGTACGTCTGCGGATCTCCGTCCAAAGGAGTGTGTACTGCATGCCTGCGGGGGTCATTCGTGTGTGTGGGTCTCTCTCGACGTGTTGCTCTTCACCCCACGGCTCTCTGTGGCTTTAATATGCTCCCTCTCCCCCTTGCACCCTGGGTGGGGGCTGGGATGGGGTGGTGAGGGGGAGGGGGCTCTTTCACACTTGTTTCTGTTAGGTTCCCCACAGTGTCATATATTAGGTCACGGGGGGGAGTCACTCCAGCTACATGACTCTCCTGCAAAGTTTGACATTGCACTGCCCCCCCACCCCCACCCATGTGAAAAATAAAGCCAGTGGCTCTGCTGGATTCGGCACCTCGGATGGGAGGCTGGGATGGTGTGGGGTGGGGGGAGCCTCGGACTGTGCTGCCATCCGTCACCCCCGTCTCTGTGCACCATCTCCTGACCAGGAGAGGTAATGAAAGTAATTTAACATACATCCATAATGAATTCATGTTGCCAATGGCGACAGGCACCCAGCCCCCCCACGGTGACAGAGTGTATCTATTATTTTCACCCAAAAACAGTGATGAGACTGATGCAGGGACCTCTCGTCTCTCAGCGGCCCTTACTGTGGGGCCCCACTGTCTAATCTGCTCCTGGATGACAAACCACTGTGGTTCCTAGTACGACATGGCCTGAGGTCGTCCTCCCGCCCAGCTGCAATCACTGTCCTGCTCTTCCTGTGGATATTGTCTGTCTCATGCCATCCGTCTGGGGCCATTTTCTCTGTCCTGCACCCACTGGGGGCATTTCCTCTCCCAGGGCACCACTCCAAACACTGGGACTCCCTGGCACACTCCACCAGTCTTGGGCCGCCGGCCCGGGGGGGCAGCTGTCTGCTTAATGTGCGGCATACGGTGTGGTCTGGTGAGCGTCAGCACTGCCCCGGATCCGGCTCCGGCTGCCAGGAACTCCAGCGCCAGCAACCCAGGCCAGACGGGACGGGGGGGGGGGGTGCCCAGTCAGGCCAGCCGCTCCTGTTCATTTACAGGTTGGATCTCATGTCCCAGGATGAAGGGCAGGCGCTTGCCAACCTAACCTTCCCCCCCCTGGGGAGAGGCAGGCAGTCCCATCACAGAAATATAACACAGGTAACACCTATCAAACATCTTCACCTTCTTCGTTCATCTTCCGAAAACATCTCCACATCTCCAGGTAAACACCATCTACACTGACAGAGGTGTAAGCAATGGCGCGGCAAGCTGACAGTGAGGGATCATCCTCACATAAACCCCCCCCCCCCTGCAGTCATGCCCTAAAAACAAATCACTTCCCTGCATCCTCAGTGAACTTCACTGTGCCCGATCTCGTTCTTCATTCATACGTCGTCGTCGTTTTGCGCGCCTTAACCCCCACCGCCAACCTCACAGTCCCGGCTCACGCCTCCCGGGGGGGGGGGCAACACCCCCCGTCTCCTCACAGGTGTATCCCCTGCTCCGCGCTAATGGTCAATATAGGGCATTTTTTCTGGGGAGATTATTCCATGTAATTGGGCCTTCTGTGGTAATGACCTTGTTTTAAATTGGAGAAAGGAAATCTAGTTTGACACCGGACCTGGAAGATGTATTGCGACTCCATGGCAACTGCCTCCCGCAATAAGGTCGCTGTGGACGTGTTTAATTAGTCCAGCATGGCTGTCCCTATGGAGTGTGGCTTTTTATTACCCCAATCTGTCATATGAGCGCATCACCAGCAGCCAGTCCGGAGCGGGGGGGGGGGTCTGCATGCCCGCCGGGGTACCTGTCGCCATGTCATCATCACGCAGACGCGCATTAATTACACTCAATGTCGCGGCGGCCATCGCACGGCGCTACCCGGCGGAGCCTCTGCACACAGACAGCACCTCCAAACATCAGAATCCGGTACAGCGTCTTGACAGGCATCTGCTGGGAGCGCGGAGGATGGACAGCGGCTCTGAAATCGCAGGCGGCCCCCCCCATGCGGCTTCCTGGCCCCCGCCCTCTCGGCCTTAGCCCTCTTCTGAAGTTTGCTCCTCACACAGCTCAGCTGGACCATCCAGGACCCCCCGGGTCCGAGCCGTTGCGCTCCCAGGTCGAGCAGCCGGAGGCTTAGTCACGCCTGTTTGCTCGGAAATGAGCAGACACTGGGAATTCAGCTCCCAGTGCGAATCCTTATCCTCCCCCACCGAGGTTCTTTGTGGGGTGTCTAGCATGGGGAGGGGGGGGACATTTATTATTTGCATTTATCAGGCCACAAAATTCAGAATAAATTAATTGTAGGGATGACATTACCTTTTAAGTATATGAAATTAAATGTGAGCTGTGATACAGTGAAAATGATAAACCACATATTGGCTTTTGAAGCTACATTTTAATAGCCATTAAACTTTATTGTCAGCAATTGTTTTTACTCTTAACAGCAACTGATCTGTGCACGTAATCTAAGCAGGTACTTTGAAAAAAAGAAATTCCTACGATTTTCTACACTTGAGAAATAATCGCGCAGTGCTGGATAGCCACTAGAGGTCACTGTGGCTCTTTTTTACAAACCAGGGCGCACTTTCCGCTGTGGCCTGAAGCACGGTGACCTTGCTCTCCATTTCGATCCTGCCAGCTACTTGTTTTTCAATTTACCGCCGTGATTGAAATGAGTTTTCCCTACTTATAAGAAAACTAACAATTAGAAGTTATTCTAGAGGGGCAATATAGGTGACTGGTTGAGTGACGGCTTCCAGTCTATAAAAAGTTTCAGTTTCTTTTAAAAATAAAACTTTATCTCACATGTCCATCCAGCCATCTTCCTACCACTTAGCCATTGCAGGGTCCCAGAAGCTCGGGGTTCGGGGAGCTGAATACCATGAATGGGCTGCCAGCCCAGCACAAAATGTGCTGTCACTGTTGCCAGTCCATTTATAAAAAAAACCAGCAAAGAGCAAAGATTTAGTGCAAGTAAATTCATTAAATATATTTTTTGGAAGAATAACGATTAATATAAGTACAAATAACTGTGGATCAACAATGAGTTGCACTGTAGCCAGGGCTGCGGGTTCGAATGCTGATGGACCGGCATCCCATCCAGGGTGTACCCCAGCCCCGTGCCCCGTGATGGACCGGCATCCCGTCCAGGGTGTACCCCAGCCCTGTGCCCCGTGATGGACCGGCATCCCGTCCAGGGTGTACCCCAGCCCTGTGCCCTGTGATGGACTGGCATCCCGTCCAGGGTGTACCCCAGCCCTGTGCCCTGTGATGGACTGGCATCCCGTCCAGGGTGTACCCCAGCCCCGTGCCCTGTGAGGGACCGGCATCCCGTCCAGGGTGTACCCCAGCCCCGTGCCCTGTGACGGACCGGCATCCCGTCCAGGGTGTACCCCAGCCCCGTGCC